TTTAGACATTCCTAAGAATGAAAAAAATGTAAAATAAGACTGAAATTTGATTTTTTGTGTTCCACACAAAAAATAAATGCGGATGAATTTTTCATGTTGATTTTGCGATAGGTCGTGAGAAGAAATACCGTAGGCGTTCAAGGGTATCATATTACAAAAATAATGATTATATTTCATATTTTTAATTACTCTAATCATTCAAATTAATTAAAAAAGCATGAAGAAACATTATTATATAACAATTTTTGATATTTTTTCGAATATTTAATGAAAATACATGTACTGCACATACGGTTTTTTTTTTTTTTTTAAATTATTGTTAATTGATTAAAGCGCTTATGGGTTATGGGACTGAACGGGTTCTCTTAGAATAAGATACCCAGATGTTGAGTATGCATTGATAGGTGCGATTTCCTCTAGGCTCATCACAGCCGTTGAAATTTTTCACTTAACCTGATGTCAAAGGTCATGTTTGTACCGAATACTAAAAGGGCCTAATGGTAGAAGCGCTGAATGATAAAAAATCCGTACGGATGAAAGGGCCGAAAGGTAAAAGCACCAAATGATAAAAGAGCCGTACGTAATGATGAAAAAGAAGTACATAATAATAAAAGAACCGTACGTAATGATAAAAGAGCCGTACGTAATGATGAAAGGGTCAAATGGTAAATGCGCCGAACGAAAAATAGCCACCAAAGGCAGTAAAGGCGTTCCATAGATATCCGGGAAAGTGGATCTTTTTCGCTCATTTGGTTCTCGAACCATAGAGATATAATAAGAATACTAGAGCGCTAACAGCAATGTATTCGATGTTCGAAATACGCAGAGCTGTGTGTGTGTACCATGCAAGATGGCTGCCATAGATTCGGCCAATCAAATTTCGCCTGAGCACTATCATTTTCAATGGCGCCCTCAATTTACACCGAAAGTTCAGCACAGCTATGTTTGAAACTAGCGTTGCGGTGTATGGGTGTAATGTACACGATATTAATTTTTTTTTAAATATTTGAATAAGATGCTCTACCTGGCCTCTTTTTGGCTACGACAGTTTAATAATTTGTCATTATCAATAGTAATTATCATTAATGAAATAATATTCAGTCAGAGGGCTTATTTATGGTAACAATATGTATACCAAAGATCTTATAAACACAAGATAGCGTTCTCCGCGATTTACGCGTAACAAATAGAAGCGTCGGTCAAGGTTCAAAAGTTTCCAATTTAGCAAGAGGGCGTCATTCATTCTTTCCTTTTTAGCAAGAGGGCGCCATTCATGCGCTATTATACCAAAGAGAAAAAGTAATCAGTTTTGGAAGAGGGCGTCCTATCTGTTGCCATGGATTTGAGATGGTTCCTGTTCTGCTGTTCACAGTACGGTATGGTCATAACGGTCAAAGGTCAAAAGTTTCCAATTTAGCAAGAGGGCGCCATTCATGCCTTATTACAGAATTTGCACGCGTAAATCGCGGAGAACGCTATCTTGTGTTTATAAGATCTTTGATGTAGACCAAAGATCTTATAAACACAAGATAGCGTTCTCCGCGATTTACGCGTAACAAATAGAAGCGTCGGTCAAGGTTCAAAAGTTTCCAATTTAGCAAGAGGGCGTCATTCATGCGCTATTATACCAAAGAGAAAAAGTAATCAGTTTTGGAAGAGGGCGTCTTATCTGTTGCCATGGATTTGAGATGGTTCCTGTTCTGCTGTTCACAGTGCGGTATGGTCATAGCGGTCAAAGGTCAAAAGTTTCCAATTTAGCAAGAGGGCGCCATTCATGCCTTATTACAGAATTTGCACTCGTAAATCGCGGAGAACGCTATCTTGTGTTTATAAGATCTTTGATGTAGACTAAGCCTGAAGGCGGCGCTTTCCTACGGCAGCCATCTTGGATGGTACACATACACAACTCTGCATTGCTCCGCCATCTTGTCAGCACTCTAGTTGTTTAATAGCTCTATGGCTCGAACTTGAATCTGCTCGGCGAACTAGCATTTGCTCGAAGAGATCCGAACGTACTGACTGGTTTCTTGTTGACTGTTTTACACCGATCATGGCGGGCAATAAGGTTAGTTTGCAAGATATTCTGCTAACTAGCCTACTGCTGGTGGTGATACACACCTTCTCTTGGTGTAGCCAGGGAGTTGTTATAGTGACTGGTGTAGCTTAGCCGCCGGGCCGTTGTTGTAGGCTTGGGCCTGTCTCCTATACGCATCTTAAAC